GAGCGTATAATCCGTACAGTACTGCACGGAAAAATTGACCATTTTATCCACTACAATTGCATTGCTCAAATGTGCTGTTATTGGTACCATTTACTACTGAAAATATCAACGAGATGTTTATTTACATTTGAAGACATGTTAAAGGCTTTAAAGCTTGTTTTCGACCCGCACTACTATTCATAATTGAATAAAACTTTTGGCAGGTACTGTATGAAAAAGTATGTTTAATGAACAAGAGTCGAGAGTATTATGAGCTTTTTTCTCCCTACGTACGATTTTGCCAGCGCGCATCCAAGACATTGAAAGGGACACATCGCTAGAGAGAGTAAATGAAGTATAGTATGTATTTTGAACTCCTACCTCTAATAGTCTTCGTAAAGACGTTTACGCATGTGCTAAGAATTTTGTGTATTAGAGAAATCATAGGCGAAGGGTTTAAACGCCTTTTTTGTTTTATGTATCAAACAAAAAATCTTAGCTATTTCCAAATTTATTAACAAACCTTGGTAAAATACTGTTTTCTGGCCTTTTTCTATTTTCGTCTGCCATTTCAGGGTAAGTGATTGAGTCAAGTCCTACAATTGGAACAGTAGGAATATTTTCCTCTCCCTTCACAACTGGTTTAGTGCTATTTATAACCATCTCATCAGCCTTTTCTTTTTCTTTTCTTTTTTCTTCCCTCTTCTAAAAGAAATTGATCCAATTATGACTTTTAAGCAGAATGTAAAGAATATTCGTAATTGTTGTAAAGAAAGCCGAGTTTAAAATTTAAGATTTGTACTGGAATTGTGGCTAGACTACGATACTAACCCGGTGCTCCCCCCCCCCATACGGGAAAGATATAATTTAACTAAAGGTCGCTGATTACGAATGTCAGGTCCTACGACATCCTCGCGCATGTTCAATTAGTTAACATTTGAATAGGGTGAGTTTTAGCATCACAATTTAAATCCAACTTCACTCGACTTCTTATTAGAGGAATTACCACAGCTGGAGTCTAGGCTAGGCTAGGCTACGTTAAGGTCAAAGGTCGTTTAGATGACCCTAGATCATGGGTGGCCAGCCGGAAGGCCGCCTTAGACATTTTTCCAGTCCGCAAGAGTCATTACAGCTTGACAAAATATATTTGTTTTATAACGACGAAAGTAGCGAAAACCACTGTATTATTTAAAAAACTATGCATGTGTTTATTCACCGGTACTGTACCGATGACTAAGAAACTATGCGCTGGTACTGTTCCGGTAACTAAGAAGCTGTTCACTGGTTCTGTACCGGTGACAAAAAGACTATTCGCTGGAAGCCTGCTTTCTAGAATACATTATTGGTCCAATTAATTTTTGAATCAAGATTAAATTCATGCTACATTTATTTTAAATAAGTATATTTAATTGTCGTGTATTCTGGCATATAAACACCCCTCCCATCTTTTAAGTAACAATTTTACTTTTAGGTATATCCGTTTCATAAACACTCCATTTTCAGTCGAAGAAATAGATATTTTCATTTTTGCATAAGGTGGGGCTTCCATAAGTGTAGCCCACCTTAAAGTCTTCTAGCCTAAGACCATATAAGATGTTCTATGGATAACTAAAAGCACTGATCAAAAATGTTTCATAGAATGTCTGGGTACCAGTGAATAGCTTCTTAGCTACCGGTACAGTACCGGTGAATAGTTCCTTAGTCATCGGTACAGTACCGGCGAATAGTTCCTTAGTCATCGGTACAGTACCGGTGAATAGTTCATTAGTCACCGGTACAGTACCGGTAAACAATTCCATAGTCACCGGTACAACCTCATCCGAAAGTACATTTTTGCGCAATCATATATTTAATAATTAACTGTCGCAATTATGAGAAAAATAATATTTGATGATCTATTGTGGGTTTAAATGAGATATATGATTTTATATGCGGCCCGTGGAGATATGATTTATATCCAATGTGGTTCACAAGATCAATTAGGTTGACCACCCTTGCTCTAGACCTATCTACGACTGCTCAACTATGTCTGAACCATCTCCCCAACATTGATTCGACCCGAAATTTCATCGGGTTAATATTGTAGTCGCCCCGGAGTGGTTAAGAAGCGATTTTTATTACATCAAACTGTTCTACTTACTAGTTCATCAAGATACCTTTTGTATTCAAGTGTATACTGTTCCATCAATTGCTGTTTGAGTTTCTCAGCAATTGGTAAAATAGTTTTAAGTCTGCTCATTATCAGTTCTTTCAAATGTGACGGTACTGTTTTAAATCCAGGATGTCTCCTGATTTTCTCAAGAAACAGCGTCATAAATTTGATGTACAAAACGTAGGCGTGCTCCAGGTTGCCTTCTTCCAAATACAAATTCGCCATCCGGATCATTTCTTGACCTGAACGAAAGTATCTGAAAATATGCAGTTACATATAGGCTTCCGTTGAAATTATTTACCATTTATTGTAAACAATACCTTACAGCCGGTACATTAAAATCGACTTCTATGCTGCTGCCATAATTCGTCAGATATTTGATTCTTTCCTTGGCGTCGGGAATGTTAACTTTGGGATGCTCTGACTCCATGTTTTTCCTTTTAATACAAACAAATACAAATATACCCCCAACGACACGACAGGGTTACTTTTATAATGCAATCATCGCAGACTTTATCATGGGAAAATTTTAGGTTTTAGTCATCAATAGAATCGGTTAACACAAATGAGTCATACATTCTGTGTTTTTTCCTGCAACTGTGTACAGGACAAGTTGATCGAGCTTTAAATTTTAAATGTCACATTGACATTTCCCACAGAATAAAATTTTCAGCAGTTGAAATTTCCATAAAATATATTTTTTACGATGCCGTAGATTTACTTTTTTTATTAGAATTTGTCGTTTTATGCAAATGTTAGTAAATTTTAGTCTTGTCTTTTCCTTGTTTTTCAAACAATTACAATATTGTAGTTGTGTTTTTATTGGTGAAAAGTTACATTCAAACATAATGCTGCCATCTATGAGAATGCTTAAAAGTTACTGTATTCAGAAAGTGCGCAAGTGGTAAGTTTGAATATAATTTGCTCCTACATTACCTATGAAAATTAAAAATCGGCCAAGCGAGAGTCGGAATCGTGCATCGAGGGTTCTGTACAAATTTGTAGGCATGTACAACAAATGATTCGTCCTTCGCGGAAATTGAGTCTCGAATATTTTTTCCGTTATGTTTTAAGTATACCCCAAAAGGATAAATATGGTACAAGGAATCATAATCCTGCAACCAAATAAGCTGCTGTGTTTACTGTTGGTATAACATGAACGCCTATTCATTGATTATATTTCTATATTGTAGAAAAATTGCTACAATTAGGAATAAGTGGTTTATTAAACAACACAAGTAATCACATCGTCAGTCCTATGACTGTTTCTACATGTACCTCCACTCTCTCCCATCCTAAGCTAATCTTCGCATTTCTTTAAAACAAAAACATCGTTAATTATTTGTGAACAGAAATCTAATCAAGGTCCACCTCTACTCCTCTTAACTCCTGGTTGTCATCATAAGGTCGTCAATCCTAAGACTGGTTGGACACGCACCTCTACACTTCATATCCTGAGATAATCTTCGCATTTTCCTAAAACTATAACATCCCACATCCTTAACTATTTGCGAATAGTAATCTAGGTCTACCTCTTCTCCTCCTAACTCCCGTTTCTGCCTCTAATATATCTTCAACTAGACTTCCATGCCTGAAAAGGTGTGCTACTAACCTATCTCGCCTATTTCTTATTGACTTACATAGAATTCTTTCTAATACCTTTTCATTTCTAACCTGCTCTATTCACGGTACCCTCATCATACGCTGGTAACACCACATTTCGAACGCTTTTAACGTTTTCTTTTCCGCCGCGCTCACTGTCCATGTTCCATCTTTAACAACCTTTTTCGAATTTCTAAATTAACCGTTCGCGAACATAGAAGCGACTTTTTTTTATTGAAAGCGACTCGACCTTGCCCTATGCTCTGGTTTATGTTCCTACTACTTCTTCCGTCCTGACTTCAGATCAGCCACTTCTTCTAATTTTTCATCTTCTGCCTTTATATTCGCTCTTTTCCTACTTTTTCCTTCCTTGCATATCAGTATTTCTGTTTTACTTTTATTTATTTTCATACAGTACTGTTTTGTCAATACCGCTACTATTTTATTTAACTCTGCTTGCTAGATGCTAATACTGCTACATCATCTGCAAATCTAAACATATTAATCTTTTGCCCCAGTATATCTATCCGTACAGTTGTACTGTCTTTAATGATGTTGATCGCGTCTTCGCCTGTTGCTCTTTATACAAACTAGGTATCACTCTTCTATCTTTGTAATTCATCCCTACATTTTTAAATATATTTAACATCTTGTCCTATTTAACATTGTCAAAAACTTTTTCTAAATCTACAAATCTTAGGTATGTACGCGCCCTTCCCTTTTTCTATCGTTTTCTCTATTGTTACCCTTAAAACTGTAATGGCCTTCCACTTATTTTTTCTAAACCCAAATTGATCTTCCCCTAATGGTTCTTCCGTCCTTTTTTCCAGCCTCTGTACAATTCTAGTTAAGATTTTTGACTTCTGTTAATGCTTCTAATATGTCTCTGACTGACTCTTCGTGCCTGAGAAGGTATCCTACAAACCTATCTCGCCTAATTCTTATTGACTTCTATTTAGAGTAATTTTTCTCGCGTATCTGGTTAAAAAATAGAATTTTATATATATACATTTATCTTAATCGGCTAGAAATGAAATTTTTTCTATTCTATTGATGTTATAATGAAACACAAATTAAAAATCAAAATATAGATCTTTAAATTCTTCTTTATTAGGTTCTTCACATTCTATCCAGTTTCATCTTTGTTCTTTTTTTAAGGCATACATGGTCCACATAGTTGTGCTAATTACATGTAGATATGGTGGCACTAATGTCTAATACACGTAGGTACATTAATTTAGCTCTAATGACATTATTTATTGTTCTTTGTTTACGTAAATGCTAGACGAATATAAATTACAACGATTATTTGAACACATAATAGTGGTATGGAAAGTAAAATTAAATTCGAGGAATTCACTGGAATGTATTTCGTCCTGTCCATCATCCAGTAGAACCCAGCAGTTCGATTTTGACGTTTCAACTCGGCACCCACCAATATCCGAATTCTTTTATTATACTCGTTTAACCATCTTTTCTATGAAACAAAAACAGAATAAAAATATGAAGGTATTATTAGTGAGAAGACGAAGAATAAATAAAAAATAGTATTTTATTCTTCAGTTTAATTATCTTCTCGAAAATACCACAAAAGGTCCATTTATATATGGATATCTACTTGCTGAAACGAATCCCGGCGTAGGTAACCTCAGCGTAATAGGCACGTTACCATAACCGAATAAAATAATTCGAAGTGGTCTGTATTCTGTCGAAACTGCCAGATGCTGATAGCGATTTCGATCTTTTTGGATCTCATCAGCGCGTCGCAGGCAGCTCCGACAGAACACACACCAACTTTTACTTGCTGTCTTAACAGCGCATTCCGCGTCTGGCAGTTTCGACAGAATACAGACCACTTCGAATTATTTTATTCATTATCTTCTCGCTTGTATTATTTATATATACACTATTGGCGAGTATATAACCGAACATACGACGTAGTCACGTACTATACGTTAAAGAAATACATTCAGTTACCGTTTCAAATAAACAATAAGGGCATGTAAGTCCAACAACTCCTGTTAAAGCTTTTGAGCGATTTCTTCGGCAATTGTGAATCTATTTTAATGATTTTCTTTTATTGTGTATATTATATTTAAATTGTAAGAAAATATTCCACCTCTAAGGGTGGAAAATTAAAGAATGATAAAAAAATAACTGGAGAAGTTAACGAACCTCGTAACTTCGTTCAGATCTTTTTAACTTTTTTGCTTCATTCCCAGGCTTTCCCCGATATGCACTCGAAAGAGTAATTATAAAAGTTGTTTAGTGCTAATTTCGTTACTAACACTACTATATGACAGTACTATTTTTTTAAATGTATTTCAATCTTTGTAATGCTATAATCAAAAAAGATACCTACATGGTTTTCATTAAGCAATTGGAAATCAATTAATTTTGGTTCAAACGGTACCAAGGTAACATCCCTGAAGCCGTAAAACGATTGCCCAGAAGAATGTTTCAACCATGGTTTTTCCACAACTTCTAGAACGTTCTCTAATCTTACCCCAAACTCGTTTTCTTTGTAGTAACCAGGTTCTAAAAAATTATACTAGACTATACACTGAATACGTAAGAAAAAATAAAATAAAAAGATTTTATTGTTTAATGAAATAAACCAAAACTAATTAAAAATTGNAGAATTGCTTATGATAGCCTTAAAATTTGATTTGATGGACGACAATTGAATTTGAATATCCGGAATGGTTTCCAGCCTAGTTTTAAATTTGTTTTTAAAACCGAAATTGAAAAGTTGGTCTGTAATCTGAAGTCGAAATAAATAGAAACAGGAACCGTAATAACCTTGTCAACGATTAGAGGGTATTTATCATTAAATTCGATCTAAAGGTCATTCAAATTTGAATCAGCTGATTCGGATTTTTGTTTTAAGGGAGGATGAGTATCGATCAAGTTTTCATACTCCGAAATAGAATGTGTCCAAAAAGAGTAGAAGGGGGTATTTTGTTCACGTTACCATTTAAGTTTTTTAAACAGAATATTTTCAAACGTTGGAAAGCGTTGAAGCATTTCCTTTGCAAAATTCGATCGGAGAGGATAATCGGTAACGTTCAATTCTTGAGCTAACTGAACTTTTAAAAGCTGTAAGATGTAAATCTAGCTTAAAAATCTTCTGTAACGACGATTTTTTAATGTCAGGATCTTGACTGAGATTGATTTTCACGCGCTGACAGTCTCATTTCTTCAATCGTTTGTTGAGTTCGAACAGAACGCGGGTAACCTGGTTGGATTGTGAATTTTTGCAGTCGAACCAGTATTCTCGAATCCATTTTTTGATGGTATCGTCCTTCAGTGCATTCCGTACATTGAATTTTGCCCGATATAATCGTTGAGCTATAATCATCGGATCACTATTGCGTTAATAGGCGCGTACGCAAAAAGCACAATGGTCTCTCGGGTATACTTCCATGGTCATTAAATCTCCAAAAAGTAGTGAAACAACCTATCCCTACCGCACCCCTCCGAACAGTGCAGATACCTACCCTTTTTGGACACCTTGTAGTTAACATTCATGATTTAGTTTGATTTGCGAATGAATTCTGCACTCACAATCACTGGCTAAACTGTGACTGGGTGATTCCTGTGGAAAATTTTCGTTCAAGGATTTTTTGAGTTTCAGTAGATGCTCGTGTATGGCTAGAATACAGAATTTTACTAGGACAAGAAACATCGATCTCGCGAAACATCTGTAACCTCTCCACGGAGGGAAAAGAGGAGTAAAGTAGGCCTAGATTAGATTATTGTTCACAAATATAGGGTTGTTCGGAAAGTCATTTCGTTTTTTTTTGTGGAAATGAAAGACAGTTTTCGTATAATAAACAAATACTTTATTAAATTATATATTGACCGTTCTGGTCCAACACCTTTTGCCATCTTTCTGGTAGTAGCATAATTCCACGCTCATAAAATTTTT